GTTGTTTGGCCATCTATTGATGTATATTCAACTTTTAATTCTTTAATACACATATCCATGTTTTCTTTCTATGTTGTAGTGGTATTATAATAACAAAAGTTTTATTTATTTTCAGGTACTATTGAAATGGTAGGTGATTTGCAGCAGAGTTATGGAAGACCATAGGATTTTTTTTTTTACATTTTTACTATAAGCATATGTGGATACAACATTGAACCTTTTGTTTTAATTTTATCTTTTTTATCTGTACTTTGGGATTAATATTATACTTGGTACATTTTAAACGTTTATGTCTAATTGATATTTTATATATATATAGATATATATGAACATATTTTTACTTGGTGTTTAGATTTGTATATGAATGGAATTGTATGTGGAATTATTTGGCTGAAAATCTTTTTGGTTTGTGTGATGTATTTATATATATAGGGGTAGAAATTGATAATATAGAAAAAAAAATTTTAAAAATTGGCATTTTTTTGCAGCAGCATTTTTGCTGTAACAATTGTATTACAATTTTGTCAACAAATACATAACATTTGTGACGACAAAGTCTCTGTCACAAATACTATGTAAAATTGTGGCTCCATTATTTGCGTCGAGTAATTTCTACCACTAATGTTTTTTTTGATAGCGTAATACCTCCTCAAATACTTTTTGTGGCACTTCCTATTGCGGCTGCTACATGCCGTCGCAAAAAATATTTATGACGACAAATAAACTTTTTATAGCAGTCGTTCACCGTCACAAAAAATATATTTTCTTGTTGCGAGAGAGAGCAACGAAAGACAAAAGCAAACCTATAAACTTGTAGAAAAATAAGTGAATGTGAATATCACACACATACAAAAATGTGCAATTTAATTTATATTCTATTTAAGTTTATGGGTAGGACCTCTAATAAGACTGCTCATAGATATTTCCAAAAAAAAAATTGTAAAACTAACAGTTCATTAGAGCTTTTAATATGTTTGCTCACTGGATTACAGCAAAAAAAAAAAAAAAGTGAAATCTTCCCTTGACAACCCCTCATCATGAACATATCCCAGTCAATTCGACTACCTAACACCAACATGCTTGTAAAAGTATTAACCCAATATGACACAGTTAACTATGGTATCAAAANATAGAAAATATGACCCAATTCATTTTTTAGATTCAATATCACTCCCTAATTCTATCTTAACAAAACAATTCATCAACTACTGCAATAGAATAAAGCTCAACTTTATCCGTATTGATTTGCATATATCAAATCTAACCTGCAATTCCAAATGTACTCATTTAATTAACATCCATATCGACTCCCACACAANAGCGTCATCGGCATACAGGTCTTTCACATATCCAAACCCCTAACATTTTAGCACTCATAGAAATAAGAAGTACATACCTCCGGGATAAAGCACCAACAACAATGTTCTCCTTACCTTGCTTGTAATGGACAACATANAACGTCATCGGCATACAGGTCTTTCACATATCCAAAACCCCAACATTTTTGCACTCATAGAAATAAGAAGTACATACCTTCGGGATAAAGCACCAACAACAATGTTCTCCTTACCTTGCTTGTAATGGACAACATANTTAAAAAAAAAAAAAGAATTGAAGTAAAGCCGTCGTTGTGAGAGCAGTAGGGAGAACATAGTCACTTGTACTCTGACCACATTCACATGTGCATATGTTCCTACTATCTATTGTCCAAATATANTAAAAAAAAAAAAGAAGAATTGAAGTAAAGCCGTCGTTGTGAGAGCAGTAGGGAGTACATAGTCACTTGTACTCTGACCACATTCACATGTGCATATGTTCCTACTATCTATNTATGGAAATGTCTCAATGTATTCCATCCATAGACTTGAGTTTGGCTTCCTTAGGTTGTTTTTCCNCAATTAATCTTGTGTATGTGACTAAAGATACTGGGTAACCAAAATTAACAATTGGCAAAACTTAGAACTTCATTGGATAAAAAGTTAAAGAGTTTAATATATTTTAAAAAACTTTGGCTATGTATACAATTCAACATGTATATTAAAAAAATTTCAACATGTATATAATTTATTTTCATACCCAAAAAAGCTATCAAATGTCTCACTGTCACGCCACAATTTTGCCTAATACAACCATTNCTAATATTGTGGTTGGGTCTCAAAGTACATCGATTGGGGTTCCCATCATCTTCTTTCCTCTTTCTCAAATGCCCATAAGCTTTGTGTATTGACATTGCGCAGCAACCATTGGTGTACTGCTTTGTCNCCAATATTGTGGTTGGGTCTCAAAGTACATCGATTGGGGTTCCCATCATCTTCTTTCCTCTTTCTCAAACGCCCATAAGCTTTGTGTATTGACATTGCGCAGCAACCATTGGTGTACTGCTTTGTCNATGACGTTAGGTTGATGATCTCACGACAGCAAGGTTTGAGGTGCTAGAGGGATAGATAGTAAACATCCTGACAATATGTTTACCAAGTGGATTGTCTTCCTTTTAGTNAGGACGTTAGGTTGATGATCTCACGACAGCAAGGTTTTAGGTACTAGAGGAATAGATAGTAAACATCCTGACAATATGTTTACCAAGTGGATTGTCTTCCTTTTAGTNGCATCTTTACACACATGCACAATAAACAATGAATTTGAAGATTTCAATCTGAAGTGAGTATAACAACTCCCACCATAGAATTAAAGGTCTACAACATTTATCCAATACTTTACGCAACAATTTGTTGAAAAAAAAAAAACTAATACANAAATTTTTTTTAGTTACGCCATTTTCAATCAGTATAGACCAAAAATCAATATAAAAATTTTTGACAAAATTTACTTTAAAAATATAACACAAAAAATATATCAACTTGTGTACATAATTTATCGAATATGCTTATTAATAAGAAACATATGAATTTAAAGAAAATATGACCCAATTCATTTTTTTGATTCAATATCACTCCCTAATTCTATCTTAACAAAACAATTCATCAACTACTGCAATAGAATAAAGCCCAACTTTATACGTATTGATTTGCATATATCAAATCCAACCTGCAATTCCAAATGTACTCATTTAATTAACATCCATATCGACTCCCACACAAAAATTACTACAACAATAGTAAAAAATCCAAGCAAAATTGAAACAAATCAAGATAATTGATTCTATTAATCTTGTGTATGTGTCTAAAGATACTGTGTAACCAAAATTAACAATTGGCAAAACTTAGAACTTCATTGGATAAAAAGTTAAAGAGTTTAATATATTTTAAAAAAAATTGGCTATGTATACAATTCAACATGTATATTAAAAAAATTTCAACATATATATAATTTATTTTCATACCAAAAAAAGCTATCAAATGTCTCACTGTCACGCCACAATTTTGCCTAATACAACCATTTACCAACAAACGCAACCACGTATCCACCATAACGATATGCAATTAACTTTATTACCATGTTTTTTTCAAAAAAAATTGCATCTTTATACACATGCACAATAAACAATGAATCTGAAGATTTCAATCTGAAGTGAGTATAACAACTCCCACCATAGAATTAAAGGTCTACAACATTTATCCAATAATTTACGCAACAATTTGTTGAAAAAAAAAAAACTAATACATGATCCCAAAAGACAGAAAGAAATAAATAAAAAACAATCCATAATTTCAAAAGGAAAGATATGAATGAAAAGGGGCTATTGTAAGCCTAATGGAGAGTTAAAGGCTTGAATGTTATCTACATATAACTTCACTAGAAAATAACCCCAAGCATGCCTCCATACATAACTGGAAAAAAAAAATTAATTTCATTTTCTCAAACAAAAATCAACTACATACAATCCCAAACATGTTTTCAGATACGCACGACTATGCGAGTATTGTGTGGGCTGTGTGTGAGTGCAAGTGTGTATAAGTGTTGTTAATCAGGGAGTTGCGGAGTCAATGTGTTTCAGTGTTCTGCTTGTGGATGTTTGTGTGCGCGGTAATTAAACAAATAGGAATCAATTAGAAAATCTCAAATGCAATAATTCGAAATACAAAATGCTGCATCCATACCATATGTAAAAAACTAATCTTGTTGTCATTGTACCAAAGAAACTTAAATATAAATATTTAAAGATAAAAGCCTAAATCCAATTAAATCAACTTAATATTAAATTTAATCACTAATCAAGCACCAAAGAAACTCACCTAATCATAGACCAAAGAAACCCATTCAACCAATTAAATCAACTTGATATCAAAATCAACTAAATATATCAAATTTAACACCAAAAGTTTAGCAAAGTATCAATTTTCCCCCAAAGTTACTAAAATTTAATTTCAAATATATTCAAAATCAATTTCAATTATCAATTTTTCTATGTCTTTTTGCATATATTGTGTGCGCGCGCTATGTGTGTTGTGTGTGTATTGTAAGTGTGTGTGTTGTGTGTTGTGCATGTGTACATGTACTGTGTTATGTGTGTGTGTGTTTATGTGCATGCGTGTTGGAGATGAAGAAAAAGTGACCGAGAGACAAAAATGAACATAGAGAGAGGAAATGCGAGAGAAGGAAAGAAGGATACCTAAATTTGGGCATGCTAATGATGCGTTACTCGATGGTGGGTCGCTGTTTCATTGATTGTGGCTCCATCATGATCAAGGTTGGGTGAGAAAAAAGAGACAAAGACAGAGATAGAGAGAGAAGAGATCAGACTCTTGCATGCTAATTTTTGAAACAACTTAAACNTACTAATGAGGCATTACTCGATGGTGGGTCGCTGTTTCATTGATTGTGGCTCCATCATGATCAAGGTTGGGTGAGAAAAAAGAGACAAAGACAGAGATAGAGAGAGAAGAGATCAGACTCTTGCATGCTAATTTTTGAAACAACTTAAACTAATAAGCAATGTAATGCAAGATAAAATTAAACAAAATTTCATATTCAAAAAAAAAAAGTAAGCAAACATTGCAGGAATGTGATGTCATTGAGGGTCTTGTTAAGAAAATCATGTTCTCACTTAACCTTTTGTTATTGAGGGTCTTGTTAAGAAAATCATGTTATCACTTAACAGTTTTTATTGTTCTAGTCAATAATCAAATCCTAAAATGATTACCGAAAACTCTTGATAGAATCAACCAAAGCTAGAAGCACACCAAGGGATATGAACAATCAAGAAAATTACCACAACAAATTCAAGAAAATGGAAACAAAATTTTAGTGAATTTTAGAAAAGAAAAGTACCACAAAGTAAGGATGGAGAATTCTAAGTTGAGCAAATGTGTATGTGTCTGCGAGAATGTTCATGTGGGTTGTAGGTGTTGAGATCGTATGATTTGCACAGGTGCGATGCTGACATTAATGAGTAAGAAAGTAAAATTTTTGGGATGAATTTTATCTGTTCAATAACCCGTTCCTAAAAATATAGTACAACATCAAAACCCATCCCATGATCGTCAAAGTTCACCTTAAACCATTTAAAGTGGACCTTTTGGGTCAACTTAACTTGCCAAGAAAAACCCATTATATTCCATGATCCAATCCAAAACCCTTGTTACAAAATTCACAAAACCAATCCGACCATATTACCATTCCACTTTGCCAATAGAGAACATTTCGATTTCACAAAACCAATCCGACTCTTATACTTCAATTTCACATTTCGAAAATGTGGTGGTTGTGGTTGGTGGTTTCCATTTCAATTACTCCAAATCTCTAGTTTCAATTTCAATAAAATTCACTACAAAATTTACCAAAAAAATATCAAACTATAATAACACAAAAGCACAAACTCGTTTTTTGTGTTTGTAAAGAAAAAGAAATTGTGTTGTGTGTGTGTGTGGTTGGTGGTGGTGAATCAAATCAAACATCCAATGAAAATAACACTAACAACTATAACATGCATTTAATTTAAAACACACAAATTATGCAACAAAAAAAAACTCAAATTATGAAATCACCCCATTATGAAAACACCAAATTGACATAACCCTAATTATAAAATCATTCAAAGCACTCAAGTTATGGAAAAAAACCCAAATTAAGAAATTGCCCCAATTATGAACTTATCAATCGGAACTTCGAATCCTTGTCCTTCCTGCTTCTTTCTAGATGTTTGCGAACTGCGACAGCCTTCTTGATCAAATGGTACAGATCCTCAGGAATCTCTGGAGCAAGGCCTAAGCAAATGAAATGACACCACCCATTGATGACCATAATTACACGGAAATTGAATTCGGAGAAAGGAGAGAAAATGTTACCATGAGCCTTGAGGATATGCAAGATCTTGCTTCCAGTGACGCTCTTGACCTGAGCAATTCCATGAGTCACGAAGGATAACACTGANCAGGAATCTCTGGAGCAAGGCCTAAGCAAATGAAATGACATCACCCATTGACGACCATAATTACACGGAAATTGAATTCGGAGAAAGGAGAGAAAATGTTACCATGAGCCTTGAGGATATGCAAGATCTTGCTTCCAGTGACGCTCTTGACCTGAGCAATTCCATGAGTCACGAAGGATAACACTGATCTGTGACGGTGTCAAACCTTTCTTCGCGAACTTGCAGATGTGTTCATCAACCTAGAACAAAATCAAAATAAAGAGTGAAGCAATTGTGAAATATTTGCATCCATACATTGTCCATTGTACAAATGAGTAGATAAATATTAGAGTTAAGCTAAATTACTCACATCCTGAGAAGAAATCTTGAGCCATCTTGTAAGGCAAAGCAGAAGCAGAGATACCCTTCCTAAAAGCACACAAAATGCACGATTCAGACTGATGATCATAGAGAAGCAGATATACACTTTATGTGCTTGGTATGTTTAAATGTGTGTGTGTGTGTCCTGAGTATGTATGACTGTGTGTGTGTGTGAAGAGAGAGAGGAGGGAAACCTGGGATCATTCCTAGCAGAGGNACGCACGATTCAGAATGATGATCATAGAGAAGCAGATATACCCTTTATGTGTTGGGTATGTTTAAATGTGTGTGTGTGTGTGTGCTGGGTATGTATGACTGTGTGTGTGTGTGTGTGAAGAGAGAGAGGAGGGAAACCTGGGATCATTCCTAGCAGAGGAGAGAGGGAGGGAGAGAGAAAGAGAGAGTTGTATGTNATTATATGAACACCTCCTGACATTTTATAAATAACACAGAGACCCCCTGAGGTTTGAAATTCGTTGCATGGAGACCGCCTATTCCGTCAATATTGCTAACGAAAATTGATAATTTCATCCTAAAAAATTTTATTATTTTTACAATTGTCCTTTTCTAAATTTAGTACCAAAAAAAATTTAAATGAAATAAAATTTGATTTAGTACCCAAAACATTGATTAAATAAATTTTAATATTAATTTGGTAACAANGGAGAGAGGGAGGGAGAGAGAAAGAGAGAGTTGTATGTATTTGTATGTGAAAGTTGTGAGAGAGAGGGATACCTAGGCGTCTTCCACGGTAGAGTTACAAGTAAGAGAGAGAGGGAGAGGTGGAAAAGATAAACTAGAGTGTGATTTTGAATTGGGTGACGTGTGTGCAGAGGTATAATGGGCGGGATTTGGNAATTTTATTATTTTTACAATTGTCCTTTTCTAAATTTAGTACCAAAAAAAATTTAAATGAAATAAAATTTGATTTAGTACCCAAAACATTGATTAAATAAATTTTAATATTAATTTGGTAACAATAAAAATTAATTTGATATTNATTTTTATTATTTTTACAATTGTCCTTTTCTAAATTTAGTACCAAAAAAAATCTAAATGAAATAAAATTTGATTTAGTACCCAAAAAATTGATTAAATAAATTTTAATATTAATTTGGTAACAATAAAAATTAATTTGATATTNGATACCTAGGCGTCTTCCACGGTAGAGTTACAAGTAAGAGAGAGAGGGAGAGGTGGAAAAGATAAACTGGAGTGTGATTTTGAATTGGGTGACGTGTGTGCAGAGGTATAATGGGCGGGATTTGGNAAAAAGTTGAATATAAATTGGACAATATTAAATGTCAATTTTTGATAAAATTATATATTAATTTATAATGTAAAGTTTACTTCGTGTTAAATACTATTTGGTGTTTATAGTCAATGTGCTATTTTTTATTATGTTAAGTATTATTTACNTTAGATTTAATTAGATGGATTTAGATGAGATTTAAACCCTATATCTAAATTTCAATCAAATCCTAACAGTTCTTATGTTTTTTAAATTGGAAGAGGTGATTTCAATNTATAAAGTTTACTTCGTGTTAAATACTATTTGGTGTTTATATTCAATGTGCTATTTTTTATTATGTTAAGTATTATTTACAAATTAAGAAGTAAATGACAAAATATATGTCGTCAGATATATAAAAGTTTTGAATTAANTGTAAAGTTTACTTCGTGTTAAATACTATTTGGTGTTTATAGTCAATGTGCTATTTTTTATTATGTTAAGTATTATTTACAAATTAAGAAGTAANATTTGGAAAGTTTAAATTTGTCTCTATCTTATTAGTATAGATACAAAAACAAACTCACTCACATTTTTTTTTTGTTACTAACAAACCCTCATAATTAATAACTTCTTTTATTATAAATACAATGATTCAAAATTTTAANGACAAAATATATGTCGTCAGATATATAAAAGTTTTGAATTAATTTTATGAAATAAATAATTTTATAACATTTAATTTTATCTTTATTGAGTAAATAACAACAAAAATACACAAGACAAACAAAAAAAGAGATAATAGTGAGAGAGAGAGAGAGAGAGAGAGAGAGAGAGAGAGAGTTATGTGAGAGATGAGACTCTCAGAGTTGCAATAGAAATGAAAGTTCAGTTAGGACCATCGGATCAAAATAATTTGAGCCGTGAAAAACTCAAGACAAACAATCTAGTTACTTTATTATATAAATATGTATATTTGTTTTTATATTTATATGATTAAAAAGCTACAACTGTAATTCTAAGTAATTCACGTGCAAATGCACGTGTGCATTAATTAATAATAAAAAAAAAAGTTTTTGAGAGTATATTCATTACAAGAATAAAGGTATTTTGAGATAAGTTTTTTGCGACGGTAATTTTCACCATCACAAAAAAGCGTGTTTTGAAGAAAAAAAAGTTTTTTTGTGGCGATAGTACTGTCATAAAATGTTTATTCACTGTTGCAAATTTTATGTAAGACGGTCATTTCCACTACAAAGACTTTTTGAGTCTGCACTTATTATGGAGAGGTATGTTGTCACAACACCTTGCCGTAATAAGTGAAGTCTCAAAAAAAATTTGTGGCAGCAACAGCTCATCTCAACTAGTACTTGCGGTAGCAAATAAAACTTTTATGAAAGCATTACCACGACAACAAACAATTTTCNATTTTGTGGCAACAACAGCTCATCTCAACTAGTATTTGCGGTAGCAAATAAAACTTTTATGAAAGCATTACCACGACAACAAACAATTTTCTATCTAAAATACGCTTTTTGTGACGGGGAACATTATCACCGTAAAAAATTTGTCTCAAAAGACCTTAATTCTTGTAGGACCTTATTGTATATATTTCATTTACTTATGATGTCATGTCTTTAAATTACACTCAAGTAAATAAGGAATGATATAAATATAGAGATCAAACATGCATCCCACACCCAAAAAAGGCGCCCAATATATACCTTCCCCTACCCCTCTCCCCTGGTAACTAAGGTAAACTATGTATAAAAAGCATCCATTTTTGTACCAAATTTAACATGGCGTTTTTAACTAAATACTTCAACTCGTTAATTTTAACTCANCCTCTCCCCGGGTAACTAAGGTAAACTATGTATAAAAAGCATCCATTTTTGTATCAAATTTAACATGGCGTTTTTAACTAAATACTTCAACTCGTTAATTTTAACTCAAANCTCTCCCCTGGTAACTAAGGTAAACTATGTATAAAAAGCATCCATTTTTGTACCAAATTTAACATGGCGTTTTTAACTAAATACTTCAACTCGTTAATTTTAACTCAAATTTGAATAGATAAAAACAACTAGATAATATGGTCAGTTTGTGAGGATAAGATTATAAATTCTAAAATAAAATTTTCAATGGTCAAATTTAAAAATTATTTGGTATTTATAAAATTAAGCATTCTATTATCTCGAAGAGGATCCAAATCCATTATTGTGCATTATATAGATGCGAGTTATACTAGCCATAGCTTACCAAAATAAAAAGAACCGTAAGAAGTATTGTCCAGTTGTTCCTTATCATCACCTACTGCCTCTAATCAAGTAGAAAAACAATATCATTAAAGTATCTTTGATTCAATGAGCCATTTTTGTATTTAGTAGTGGAGGCTTGCACCAAAGTTTTGGTTCAAAAAAGGGTTTTCTTATTTCCAATTTTTATATCTTCCTATTGTGTCTTTGGAAGCANATTGCCTCTAATCAAGTAGAAAAACAATATCATTAAAGTATCTTTGATTCAATGAGCCATTTTGTATTTAGTAGTGGAGGCTTGCACCAAAGTTTTGGTTCAAAAAAGGGTTTTCTTATTTCCAATTTTTATATCTTCCTATTGTGTCTTTGGAAGCAAGGTTGTAATATATTACACAACTTTAGTTGAGCCTATATGTATTGCTAACAAAACCACCTCATCCTTGTACAACCACATGGTGGGGGGTAATGTATTTCCCTCCACAAAGCATATTATTTTATTAAAAACCATTTTCATTATGTCTTTTTGATTACAACGTAAACTTAATAGATATACAATCAACTTAAAATAACAAGCATCAAATCAGGCAGGACATTTACTACAATCTACGAGACTTGAACTTAGAATCTTAAAATAATAACCCTAGCTAAGGCCTTCTTATTTGAGTTACCCCATACTTCCATCTTTACAAATAAAGATAAAAATAACACATAAAGACCTATTCTCTTGGCAACCCCACTCTCTCTATATTATTCTATATCTATATACACTTCAAGCACAATCCTTCAGATGGAACTGAAAAATAAGACAAATGAGATGAAAGAGAAGATAAAAACCATACAAAACAAGAAAAATATCTTCTTGTAATCATGATGATCCTCTACTTATCATTATCTACTGCCAATCACCAAGTGAAAGAAACCAAAATTAGATCATTATATCCTCACTATTTCAGAATCTTAACAGCCCTGAAGATATTGTTTCATCAGATGCGTTTTTTGCATTAATTGGAAGCTTATTGCAGAAGAGTATGGGTCCAAAAAAGCATCTTCCTGCTTCTCATTGTTTGCCTCTCTCTTTGGTATTTATTTGAGTGTAGCAGTTGATTCTTATTTTCAAATGTGGCCTGTGTGTATATGTCTGTCTAATGGAAATGTAATTTGGATCTAATTTGAAAATTTAATTAAGAATTAATGCAATATAATCATTGGATTGAAATTGAGTTCTATCTAACATTAAAATTTACAACTAATTCAATGACTACATTAAATTAGATTCTTGATTAGGCTCTCAAATTAGATTCCAATAACATTGCTCCCGGCTAATAACCTACTTTGTCCAAACATTGGTACACGGACGATAAAATGTATTTCCCTCNACACCATATATATTATTTTATTAAAAACCATTTTCATTATGTCTTTTTGATTACAACGTAAACTTAATAGATATACAATCAACTTAAAATAACAAGCATCAAATCAGGCAGGACATTTACTACAATCTACGAGACTTGAACTTAGAATCTTAAAATAATAACCCTAGCTAAGGCCTTCTTATTTGAGTTACCCCATACTTCCATCTTTACAAATAAAGAAAAAAAA